TACTACATCTGAATTTGTTTTTGTTCTTTCCAATGCCACCATCTCAGTCCAAGGCAGCTTCACCTCTTACTTGGATGATGACTGTAACTGATCTTCATGCTCCCATTTCCCCTGCACTCTGTGCCTCCTGTCTAATTGGCCTGACCTTTCTAAAGCCTGAATTGCACAGCTCATTCCCTCGCCTGAGCTCTCCACATGGTTTTTAATACTGTCCAAAGCCTTTCGCTTCACCTTCTGTGACCTTCCTGTGTGACTTGGCCTCTCCGGCCTGGACTTCCACTCTCGCACATGGGCCCCATCCCTGAGCCACGTCAACCCTCCTGTCCTTTGGATGCCCCAAGATCATTTCCCCTTCACCAGTTCTGGCTGTGCCCTGTGCCTGCCAGGTCCCCAATGGGTCTGCCCAGACTTCACAGGGCAGAGTAGCCTTTCCTGGTGACATAAATAGCCTGTCACCATTTATTTCTAAGCCCCAGTAGCCAGTATTATTTTTTTCTTAGTGCTTACTATTTTCAGAATTTATTTTACTAATGTATTAGTGTGTTTATCTTCCCCCTTCTTAGAATGTAAGTCTCTTGCATTGAGTCCTGGGTCTACCACATAGTAAACACTCAGTGCTCAGCTTATGGGCGAGTCGATTAATTTGCCTGTATGACTGTCTCTTCTGCCTCGTTGATGGAAGCTGTGCACTTGATAGTTAGTATATCATCTGTCTTTCAATCCTCTACCTTTTGTACAAAGCAGATGCTGAGGAAGGATTTTGAGCCAGTGCTTAAAACCTCAAGTTCTGCCGTCTTAACTTGACCTAGCTGCTGTTTCCATCTCCGTTATGTGGCTTGGGGAAGTTGTACGACAGTAGAACCTGTAAATTGACCACCCAAGGGACAGTAACAAACTGGTCAGCACACGAAGGTGGTCAGTATGCCTCAGTACGTGGGGTCCATGTCCAGTCTATGAAAATTAGGTCAAGTTAAGGAGGTGGTTAGGGTGGAAAAGTGGCCAGCTGTAGAGGTTCGACTGTATGTTGAAGATTCAGTGTCCGTATCTGGTAAAATAGGGACAATAATAGTATCTACTTGGTAGAGTTATTGTCAGGATGACGGTAAGCAGTGTGTAGAAAGTGTTTAGTATGGTCCCCGCAATATTATAAGTACTCAATAAAAGCTAGCTGTTTTTCATCTTTCTTCATTTACACTTAAGGAGGTCCTAGTAAGTGTTTGCAGGGATGCAGAGAATATGTTACCACTGGGTTATATTTTCTGTTTCAGGTTGGAATAGCAGCATGCCAAATTGCACGAGCTTATGGCTTAAAGGTTTTGGGCACAGCTGGTACCGAGGAGGGACAAAAGATTGTTCTACAGAATGGAGCCCATGAAGTGTTCAATCACAGAGAAGTTAATTATATTGATAAAATTAAGGTAAAATTTTCAGTAGGTTCATAAAAGTCAGATTTTATTCCTTGGAGGCTTATGTGATTTTTTTTTTTTTTTCAGTTCTTTTACCGATTACTTTTTTGAAGTCATTTGCTTTCTTTCTTCAGCACCTGTATGTATTTTTATGCCTGTGTGTGTCTTAAGGTTTTAATTCATTTAAAAAGCAGAGATGTCTAATTTTTAGGCCTTTGTGATCATTTTGTATTGTTTGTGTGTATTGAATAAAATGTAGCCTCTCTAGAGTCTTCTAGCTAGAAAAAATGGTGATTTTTAATACAAACAACATTTTAAATAAATCCACAGCTTTGTATTCTCAATATAATTTCTACTGATGTGAATTTTCCATGGAAGGTGAGGTATCTACAAATTACAAACGGGATCTGCTTAGCCCGGTTAATAAAGTTTGTTAATGTGATGCTTTGGGGGAATAATCATTCCCATATCCAAAGTGGAGAGGTGGTGTTTACAGACTGATTGCTATACCACAACTCCTGCAGATTCTGAAGTTCCCCGTTTGTGCTATATGAGCAGTTTATTAAACACTGATTGCTTTGCTGATCCTCCACCACTTTCCTCATGAGCTAGAACGTCTCAGGTACTAAGTGCTATTAAACTAAGTCATTACAAACAAAGATAAAATACGAGAGAGAGTTTACCACTAAATCATCTTGCCAAAAACCTGAACAAAGGGCACTTTGTTATATGTCCGGGGAATCTCAGACCCAATACTGACTCCTAATATCATTATCCGAGAATAGTTGTGTCCCGCACCCAGATAAACCCTTACACTGTACCTATTAGGTGGGACCCCACCAATCCGCCTCTGTTCTCTCCCCCCTTCTCTTTCCTCTCCCTTCCCCCCAGCTTGAATTAAATTCAGTTTTTCTCTTTTTTGGACATGTATTAGTTCATCGACTGACTTCACATTTGTATTGAGCACACTGGATACTTGCTTTTCCTTTCTTGTGATCCTGTGATACTTTTTACTAAAGAGAATATACTCCAACTCTATCCAGTTAATACAAAAGATGTAGAGGCTCCATCTTTGTTATGGCTGAATATCATTCCATACTATACATATGCCAGTTTATTAATGCATTCAGGGACCTTAGCTAACAAATGCGAACATTGTAACCTAATCATTTGTACCCCCATATTAATCTGAAATTTAAAAAAAGATTAAAAAAAAAAGCAAAAACCTCCATTATCTAAGAGTGTTTACAAAGATTAAAATTGGCCAGTTATTTTAAGACTATGGTTTTTGTTTAGCAATAATCTAATTTCAAGGCCCCAAGATCTTCCCTC